ATGTTCTTACTTAATTGTATGACATATTGTTAATATGTCATTCCTTATATAAATATATAATAATGAAAGCAAATTTGAAATTCATTATATTATTATAGGTATTAAATTTACATTTTAACTAAAATCTAGTTACTGTTTAGTATAGGTATTGTATGTGTGATTATTCTGTTTTTATGATAAAAGAGTTTAAAGTATAAAGTATAATCAACTAGAACAATAGAATATAGTAAATTATAAATTAAATATTGTTTCTATACCTACCCTAATTTATTATAAGTAACTATCCTCATTAATGATGTTCCTTTAATGTAAGATGTAACAATTAAAACTATAAAATAAATAAGAACTAAATATATAAATATAGTAGGTACCTAATGTACACTTGTATACTTATATACACTTGGTAATTAATAACTATCTTTTAATCATTGTATGTTTTCATATAACACGGTCCTCGTTATAAATGTATAATTTACAAACTTACTAAATATACATCAAATTAATATTTATATTTTATCAACTTTTATACACAAATGTTTGGTTAAGACTTAAGATTTTTCCATGGGCCTGCATAAATGAATAAGATGAGTATAATATGTCAACAAGATTTATAATATTAATTATTAGTTTCTAAATTTTACATTTACCTATTATAAAATATAAATTTAATTTTTACTTTTTAATCGAACTGCCATTTAATAAGTAGGTATACAACAATTGGTATTCTTACGTGAGTGTATATTTCCATTTCATTTTCAACGTATAATATTCATAATAGTATTCATCTAGGTAACTTATAATTATTATGTTCTTAAAATTTAAAAGGGCCGTATAAATCATACGAATATAATAATATTATGTCAATTAAAGAAATTTCAGATAACTAAAAAAAAATATTTTGATTAATTATTATTGAACTATAACTTATTAGTTATAAGGTATATTATTAATATTATTTATTGAAAATTGCTAATTGTATATTTTAAGAAGTAGTAATTCAACCCTTAACTATAATAAAACGAACTATTCCTATTAAGTATAAATTATTCCAAAACGTGCTAAAATGTAATGTTAAATTAAGCTATTACTACAATTACGATGTTTGAAATTAAATCAAGAATATAATCCTAGATTTTTATATAGATTATTCCTAGAACACTTTTGAATCGTTTTAAAGAGAAATAATATAAGTATTATTAAACATATTAAAAAAGTACTTAATCATCAAAATTACTTTTCTATTAAAAAAAAAAAATGGTTTGTTTTTATTGACAATTATGTACTATATCTATATGTATATAGCTTTATATATAGTTTATAGTATATAATATAGTATAGAATGTTTTCTTGTCGACAACTAACGTCATTGTTATCTTTTCTTTAGAGCATACATTTTTTCATTTTCTAATGAAAAGTATGATTTATTTTGAATGTTTGTATAGTCTTTACACTTTTTATATTTCATAATATGTATTAATCTTTTTCAATAAAATATAAATATAATTCAGATCCGAAAATCTAGTGGAAGCCTCAATTATTAATATAATAAATTGTAAGTAGCTATACAATATTTTAATATTAATACCTAAATTAGTAAGTAACTAAATACCACATTACTACCTATACTATCTGTTAAACATTTTGAAATATAATTTAAATAATAAGCAATTAGGTTATTGGAGTTCATTCAAAGTATGCGTCAATATAATTTTAATTTAATTTGTGTACTGGTATTTAGTAAGATACATAAACAATAGGTATCTACCAAAATTCTAAATATAGTTGGAGTTATAAATAGAAATACCAATTCTAAAAATATTTGCCAAGCTGATAACCTTCCCAAATAAAATCACGTTAATTTAGTAAAGAAGAAAGATGTTATTAAATTAACTACATATTTTGAAATTCCACCTGATGCGAAAGAATTTTACAAAGACAAAACACAATTTAATGATATTGAAAAGATGAAAACGGAATTTATGAAGAATGATTTACTAAAGAATTAATAAAAAATTAAAATTTAATAACACAGTTAAATATCAATATAAAAATATAATAATAAATGAATATTTTTCTCGAATGCTGCAGTATGTCTTTTTTAAGTACTTAAAATAATAATAAAATTAATAACATTTAGAAATCAAAATTTTTGCTTTGGAAAATGTTTATTATTAAATTTTAATACTTTTTCCAAAAAGAACAAATGTAATGACATTTTCCCTAAAATGTCCTAAAAATCAATATTTTGGCAATAGTATGTTTTTCCACCCCTCGTTTATGTTCATGGGTAAGAATTAATTATTATTTATTACTGTTATGATGATTGATAAAAAAAAAACACTTTGAAATAGTTATTATTAAAATATTATCAAACCAAATAGTTGGTCTGGGATTGTCACGTCATAAAATATATTTTACTTGTGGTCTTTGGTTAGTATTCTACGCAAGAAGCCTTGTGCCCTTGTCACGCAAACTACAAACTAAATGGTTCATGGGTATTTTAACCCAGCTTTCGATAACAACGTAAAACCACCGACAAAACAATCCAGTGTGTGGACAAACAAGCAGATTACCAGTGAGTAGTTATGTCTATGGGGTTCAACCGAAAACTCAAGCGAACATGCGAGGTTATGGGATTTGGTCAAATTTCATTTGAACGCTTTACTGGGTAAAACGTTTGAAAGTTTGGGTACGTGACTTCGGTAGATGAGACCTGTTGTGACAAACGTGATGGGAATGCACGGTCATCAAAATTAATCTGAACGAAAAATAAAAATAATGGGGATGACAAACATAATAATAAAACTTACTAAAAATTATTTTCTTACAAATTTCGAGTTCACTTTGTTGAATGGACTTGAAGAGTTAGTGCTTTTATCGCAAGTGAATATGTAGTACAGCTATTGTACCTACTCCTTATACCTCTAACCATGTCTATAAGATGAAATCACCAAGAGTGTACTTTTGAATTTTTGTACATAGATTGTCAGTCAGCAATTTTCAAACCGAGTAAAACAAAAGGACATTCGAGTTGCTTAAGTGTAGTAAGGTTCAACAACTTGTAACTCGGGTATTCTTGTAAATTATAGGACAGGTACCTAATTTTTCTTGGACTGACTACAAACTGAAATAATTATTAAAAATTATTTTTGAAATACGTACCTATTTGTATAGTTTTTAAATAGCGTATTTGGAATATTTATTCAAAAACTTAAAATAGTATTATTCTTAAAATATTATTTGGTTACTATTGCTTAACATTAGCCAATGTTTATTTTAACCGTCTATTAAATTATTCATATTTTTAAAAAAAGTTTTTTTATAATACTAAAAAATACCCAAAAACTGTATAACTATTAGTATTCCGATAATACAAATTATAATAAAATTAACAGTGTAATATAATATCTTACAACATTTAATATTTATTCATAAAAAAAATGTAACACAAATTAGACAATTTCTTATTACATTATTACTTATTACAATGGCCAGAACCTATATGTTAGGTGTGATTGAAACTTGAAAATAAATTATCAACAGGCAAAAGTTAAAATTGGCCATATATTAATAAATTATTTTGATGTTATTTAAGATAAGTTCAACTGATAAAATAATCAATATTATTGCCGAAATATTTAAATAAGGGATTCTGAACCACTTTACCCCTAATCTATTAAAATGCGTACAATTTTGAGTTTAAAATATCACGAAATAGAGACTGTTCCACAGTAGACAATTTTAAGAGAACTTTTTTAGTAAACAGGTTTAGCTGGTATATGTAAATTACGTCTCAATACAAATGTCATTAAAAATCAATCACGAATTTTATTAAATATAAATTTCCATTATTTAAATTGGTTTTTAAATGATATTCAAAATAGTTACGTCATCAGTATAATAAGTAAGTATATAACATATGCGTGATATATTTAAAATAAATCTTCGTAAAACTACCTATCTCATGAATAAAATTTTTGACAAACCAAGCATCAGTCATCACATATTGTTGAAAATATCACCGTTTTTTACTTATCTTTGTAAAAATAAGATTTTAAACTATGTTGAAAATAAAATATATATTTTTTTAATTTGATACATTTTATACTATGGTAAAGTGAAATAATAAAAATGTATTTGTGTAATTTTTTATTAATAAATAAGTGTGGATTAATTGAGTTGTGTATTAATTTTATATGTTATGGTATACAAATTAAAAAGTTGAATTGATTATTCTTTTTTTACTATTATAAGTTTTTCATAATATAGCCATATAATATAATATAATTATTAAAGGAAAAAGTCTTAATATTTTGAAATATATAGAAACAATATAATATGTAATGGCAAAAATTTTCGAGTCCCTGCGATTAATATTTTATTAATTAAAACTAAATAACCAAAAAAATGTTTATTATTTTACTCTGTCATTTTTAGCATTATAGTGAATTAAATTATTACGAAACGTAAAGGTAAGAATATTATTGCCCAGGGTCTGTGTAAGGCATTTGGTGAAAATATGTTTGATGATAATATAAACTATCAAGAGGTTTGACCAAGCATTGCATTTCGATGTAAGATTTAATATTTTATTTTACTTATACCTAATGTATTTGATTGATTTAAAAATCATAATGTTGAACATTTAAAAAGAAATTTCAAAACTAAAAACATATCCATTTTAGAGGCTCAATTTTTCGGAAAAACTTAACATAATTAAATCATAAATAAATCTTTAGAGACACAGTGCATTATATGATCAAAACGTTCAAAGGTTTTATTATTTTATTGATTGATTTTATTACAAATACACAATATTGTTAAGAAATTAGTTGTTTCAGTGGCGAAAGTGGTATGTAAATTTTTTTAAAGCCTATTTTACAACCATGTCGTGGAACTTAAACTAATAATTGTATTGGATAATAAACAAATAATAATAATAATACTATTATACTTAATACTACTATAGTGCTGATGGTTTGTAAATTTATGAAACTCACCTGTTCTGTGAATAATGCTCAGTGCTTTTATGATAAAATCGAATATGCCTGTCGACTCCATATTGGCATGGTTCAATTGATATGTCAACGAACCATAGACGGTTAGGCCACTGTCGCAAGGCTTAACATGCTCGCACAAGCGTTTCCTCTCGTCACCGGAAACCTGAAACACATCATGAAGTTCAGATAAACGTGATATCAGCACCTTTATATCACTATGATAAATACGTTCAATTTTATTTACTGTATACATATTTAAAAGAATAATATTCCAACATAGTGTAATATTAATTAAAATATCATTCAACACTTTTTGAATTATTAAAATAATATAAAATGAGTAATTTTTATTACTCATTTTGAATTTTACTTTTTAAATGTATGTATAAAAATAAATGTACTTCCTTAAAAAAAAGAATACGAAGAATATATTATGACGATTATATTATGACATTTCCCAAGTGATTAAAATCAAAATATTAACTCATTATATAGTATAATTAAAAGTAGGTAATAACAAATGTTGTATAATATCGTTTATTTTCGATTCATATATCGAAAATAAATCAATATTAGAATGTTTTAATTAAAAAATATAATATCCACTCGTATTATCAAATTATTATTATTTTTAAATCAAAAATAATCTGTACAACTTTATAATTATTATTCTTTTTTATGTTGAACCATCTAATAAATTCTTACCTGTCTTGTAAATTTGAAGCAAAAATAAATATATTTTAATGCCAAGGAGTTTATCATATACGTTAAATACCATATTATAATATAAAATTATAATTAAAGTACTATACAAATTATTTCTTGCCATCCTCGTATAATTAGGATAATATAATGATATATAATTCTAATATATTAAAATATAGGTGTACATTTGGAAATTGAAAACAAATAGAAAGCATAAAACAAATTAACCAAGCCAACAAAAATCAAAATAATATAACATCATATTATATACAATACCCTAGGGATTAGCAAAAAGGGACATATTCATATATTCCTGACTCGTGCACGTGAAATGTGGGTTTAATAATGGTGAGTATTAACTAATTTTATTCAGATGTTGTAAATTGTTATTTTAAAACGTTTATACTACACAGTTTATCGTCTACTCTCGTAACTTTAATTTGAAGCTTTGAAACTTGAAAGAGGCACCTTAGTTATCCCTGGAAAATTAAGTACAAATTATTTTTTTAATTATAATTTATCTGATGTGTATTTTTGTGCCAATAATGACAGTGAACCAGAAATCAAAATTTAATACAGCGTTAAGTTTTAATTTTTAATATTTCAAAATTATTAGAGAAAGATATAGGAACAATTGTGACAGTTTTTGAAATAAGCCTTAGAGAAACTGTTAAATTGATAATTATTTGTCTACTATTAACTGTATTATACTACTATTTACAATGATTAATAATTTACTCAGCAGTCAAAAGTCATAGGAACTAAGTTTTAAAAGACATTTAAGGTTAATGACATTTTACGGTGACATTAAACGACCGTTTAAAAAACATTATTTCTTTAATAAAAAAAACCTCTATCCGTAAAAAAAGATAAATTAATTTCTTGAAAATAATTGTTATATTCAGAATGAAAATGATGTTATTTAATACACTTATACCTTAAATTCTACGTAATTAATCGTTTTAGAAGCTTTAAGGAAAAACATAATAGATAAAATATGTTGTCAACCATAATTCGTATCCCATTAATTATTATATTAAAATGGTCATAAATCAACTTTGATAGGTTATACTATAGTTAGGTAAATAAAAATAACTACCTATAATATATATTACACAGTATACAATATAAAATCTAAATAGACACATAGGTACAAGGTACATACATCATAATATATAATCTACATAATATATTTATATTATTCACACACTTAAGAATTATTTTCATTAAATTCACCATCTATACAATACAGTACCAGGATGAAAATATCATCACTATTCACCAAATATAAATATAACATTTAAAATAGCTGTTAACTGGCAAAAAAATAGAGACATAGGTATACATTTATGCTGTATTAAATTATAGTTGGATTTAAGGGGATTCGATACCGTGATTTTCTATTTTTGTCTAACACACGCGTGACATAGTATTTTAGACGTGTTTTTTGCCAAACATTCCAATTGATCTATTGAAGTGATAAGATTTCTGAAAACAGATTTGAATTTGTCGTCAAGTCTACTTGAAATCAACTTTCCCACATTTTTGATTTTTTGATTTTAACTTCTAAAAAAATTGAAATAACAGAATTTTTAAATACTCTTTTTGAATGTGACATTTTAAAAAATGTGGGGGATAATATCAAAAATGTGGGAAAGTCGATTTTAAGTAGACTCGACGACAAATTCAAATCTGTATTCAGAATTCTTATCGCTTCATTAGATCAATTGGTATGTTTGGCAAAAAACATGTCTAAAATACTATGTCGTGCGTGTGTTAAACAAAAACAGAAAATCACGGTATCGAATCCCCTTAATAATGGGAAATAAATAAATGCATTTTAAATATATATTATATTTGTGATTTTAATTAGTTACGTTTTTGTTTACATGCACGTATTTACTAAATAACTATTAGAAACCATAAAAGTAATAGAATAAGTTAAGCTTTAATTTAAATAAAAAATTAATAAAAATAAAATAAATTACTGCCATTAATGTATCATTCAAATTGAGATAAAATGTCTGGAGTTCTTACTTGACTAACGCTACTACTAGCTCTTCTTGATTCGTCAGGAAACATCTGTTTTTGTGTATATTGTGTGTTCTTATATGGTGAAGAACTTTTTTGAGTGTCTTTGAGAGTTCCTTTTGGAGATCCATTTCCTAAAAATAAAAATAAAACCATCATAAGCTTTGTGATAAATTTGTTAATCGATACCTTTTAAATAAAAACATAGTTAGGTTAATTTTATTTTATTTTTTTTTTTAAAATCACATTAGGTAATAAATAAACGCTTTGAAGTTAAAAGACAAAACTATCTAAGATCGTATACTTAAACTTAATATTATATAAACTCATTCATATTTAAAATTAATTAACTTATGTTTCATATTATATTTAAAGCAAATTGAATTTTTGAGTGGGCACTGGAATATTTTACTTTAATTTGAATAAGCAATATTCTAATTGATTTTTTAATCAATAGGACAATTACAATTCTAAATAGATTGTAATTTTAGATTTTGAGTTGAAATTGATTAAATCTTCAATTTTTATAACTAAGGATTGAAATTTTAAAACAAGGTTTTTCATTCCTTAGTAGTAATTATTGTGACCAAAAATATAAAAAATGTATGAGCACTGTTTTACATGGACATTTTTATAGATAACGATGTTACTTATTTCGTTGTAATTTAAATCATAATTTTTGCTGTATGCAATAAAATATCCAAAATATTTAGTTTAGTTTTAAACTATTACCTATTTACACCATTAACCTCTTCGCACCGTTCCATGGTAAGATGGTATTGACTCAAAAGTTAATAACAATAATATCATAATATGATAGAAATATAGATTGTTATAATAATTAAATATTAATTATCATAATAAATGCAATGTTTTTAGCAAAAACTAAATCAACCTTCGTATACTAAAATAATATTAAATAAGTAAAGTTACTTTAATTGCAATATCAAAAACCATATCATGAATAAACTTGACATAGGCTGACAGGCCATCACCGCTCAGAATCGTTTTTCGTATAGGTACAATGATATTTCATGAAATTTAAATTCAGGGCATTTAGCATATCCATAAATCCATTACAGTGACCCATTTATCACCTACTGTATAGCAGAGGTACGGGTACCCACTTGCCCACCTATTTCATAATAGAATGTGTTTGTATGTATACATAGTAAATCCCTTTGTATTTTTAATAGTATTTTAATTTTATTTTCATGTATTTTATTTTAGTTGTCATTTTTAAGTTAAACTAATCAATGTCTAGTAATAATTATAATTATTGGTCTAAGCTCCTTAAAGGAGCAAAAACTTTTCAAAATTTTTTTTTTTGTGTGCTCCACATTTTGGAGCTGCAAAAATACTTCAATCTTTTACTTTAAGAGTGGTTTCTGGTAGCAACCCAAATATAGTTAGTACTATGAGGGTGGTGAAAACTTTCCAAAATAATCAAAAATAACAAAATAAAAAAATTAAGAAAAAACGGAAATCATTTTACAAAATCAGTTTTTGTACAAATTGATTTTGTATTATGTTGCAATTCAAAAATTAACAACTGTAGAAACTTGAATTTTTTACCAAAAATGTATATTTGAATTTTTTAGAGGTAATATAAATTAAAAAATATTTTAGCTCTTTTTGTTTTGTTTATAGATATATTAAATAATCAAATTTTTTAATTTTCTTTTTATCTATGTATATGATATTTTTTTGTTTTTGAGTAAAAAAAGCTTGAAAATGTATTGGAAATTCTCTCATAAGTTATTTCAAATTCATCAAAATCACGAAAAATAATTAAATTATTTTGTAGTAAACAATTTAATATTTATTAAATAATTTTTAAAAGTCTGGACATTTTTTTACTTTTAAAGTAAATTACAGCAAATAATTTATAGCAAACTAGCTTCAAAAACAAAATCATAACTTTCATTTAAATTCAAAGCTAAAAATGAAAGCATTTTACTCCTCCACAAGGTGATCACAGTATGACACTATGACAGCCAAAAAAATAAACACACACACACACACATCATTGAAAGATCAATACATTCATCACTCAGAATCTAAAATTAATATGATGACCAGATAACAACATTGTGTTTTTAACTAATCTAAAAAAATTACACTCCTGAAATTCCAAATATTATTTCTTTTATAAATATAAATATAATAAAAATAAATATATACATTTTATTTAACTATTTCAAACACTTCAAATATGCAGCTATAGAAGTTTAAAATTGGAAAATTTGATTAACGGGCATTGTACTCTAAATTTAACTCTAAAATATAAAACAAAATCTTCTGAATGTATTTATTAAAATTACTTATAAAAATAATATTGATCTTTAATTAGTTTTGCTAGGCATCCTAAATATTCTAACATCCACTGTTTTGCGCCCTACATACGAGCCAGTCACGCAATGTTAAGGTGGCCTTTTTAAGTTAGTTTTACCATTATTTATATAAAGAAAAATATTAAGTTACTTTCTGAATGGTCAACCCACAATGTCATTTATAGAATGTATTAAATAAATGTTCATAAATTATATGAGTTACAGCTTTTATTTTTTACTTAATCATAATATTATTTCTGGTCTAGAATTAGGTAAGTACTGAATAAATATACCTTCATTAGATTTTGAGACATTCTAACGTTATAATATTTCCATATAGAACATTATAATATAGCTATTACTTCATAATTTATTAGGTACACAGTTTAAAAGGTATAAAATAATCATTTTTAAATTTAAATATAGTTAACTATTGATTAGCAATTTACACATAATATTTATTACAATTATCATTATTGTTTCTAATAAATTACCTTTATATTTTGTCTATCAACTTAGGATTAATGGATTAGCTTGGATTTCAAATACACAAATGTATTAACAAGTAATAACAGTGCAAACTACATATTTTATATAAAAAATATACATATTACATTTAAATAATATGATTTAAATTAGCTTATATACAATTATACAAAAAAAGGATGTAAGTAGGTATTTTGTTATTAGATATATTACAAAAATTAATATCAATAATTTATTTATTACATTAAATATTTTATTTTTACTAACTAATTGCCATATATACCTTATACAGTAAAATATAAAATATATAATGTATTAAATGTTGAAGTTATAAAGTATTGAAATTTGAAATGGTAGACAATATTAAAATCTGTAATTACAAATAATTATTACAAAAAGTAAAACGTTAAGTTCCTATTCATTGTCTTATTTTTTTATTTTAACTATCGACATGGAAACAAACGATGAGAAGGACACAATAATCCAGTGAACATTGACAAGAGATCATAAAGTGTGAACGTCTATACTCCATACAAATAATGGAAATTAAAAACAATAGAACTCACAATTTGGATCTATACCTGTATACAATTATAAGAATAATGTTTCAAAAATAATGATTTGAAAAAAGTTTTGGTTAAATAAAGAGGAATCTTAAATGTTAATGTTTCAAAATATTCTATTATTGATGATTTGAAGATATGAATTGAATTCAGGTTTTATACATCTTATTTTTAACAATAATTATTATTTTATATTCTGAGCGTAGCGATAAATATATTGGTTTTACAATGATGTGTGTTGTTTTTCTTCTGCCTGTCATTAACTTTTGGGATAGTAAAAATTCTCTGGTTTTTAACTCCAGCATATGTTCTGATAGGAAAGTGAATTTAGAGGTCAAAGTTGTAAATTCCCAGTAGTTTTCAAAAACATCAATAAAAATAAAAATATACAAGATATATATTATGTTATTTTTTTAATCAGGAATTTTATGCAAGTACCTATACATGTATTTAACAATAACTTTTTTGATCATTGTATTAATTTTAATATTCAGACTTATCGATTTCTAGATAATATTTTAAAATGCATTATATACCATTATATTATAATGTATAGTTCATAACAGAATCCTTGCAAACAACTTGTTGGAATTCAGTAAATGTAAATAAATTACAGCATCGAATATAAATTTATTACATTAGGTATTGCAAGAAATTCTTGAATACTTAAATAGAATAAACTAAACTCATTTTTATTTTGAATGAAATTCATTAATAATTTTAGTCGTCGTTAGTCTTTGTGGAAATATGTAAATGTCAACTTTAAACATATTTATTATTATACTTCATATCTAAATTGGAATTAAGTATAATATGACGTATAAACATGCAAATACTAAAAGAAAAATGAGCACCAAAAGTTAATTTAAGCGACACGATGATTTAATTAAAAACATTTTTCTTTATGTAGAAGAGAATAAAAATATTATTTCCAACAAAAGTCATCATTAAATATATATTATAATGTTAAGAAAACAAACATATTCTACTGGAAAAAATATAAAAACCCATAAAACATAATATTATCCTGGTTATTCGGATTTGTTGCGTTAAAAAAAAATCTGATTTGAATGAATAACAAAAGACGTGACCGACATGACCAGGCTGAAATGATAATAAACTCAATATTGTATAAGCGATTGGCCAAAATTGTATTTTCGTAATTAACTTTAATTGATTTAATATCAAAAAATAGTTATTGTTTCAGTCTTCTAATATTAAAATGTACGGCATTTATTTTATATTTTATACCCGTTTCAAAATATATCATATTTGATTAAATCATTAAGTGTAATTTCGTATTGCTGTAATTTTTTCAACGATGTAATTTCCGTCAATGAAAAAATAGTGAACCCACTTCAATCAAATGATATAAATAAACTAGTATAGTTGTATAATTAAATTAGTTCAGTCAAGTCACTGGAATGAATAAATTACGGTTCTGAAATATTCGCACTGAGTTAATACGAAAAATATGCTTTTACAATTCAATCCGTTTTTGGATTAATGGAGATCGGGATAGGCGTTATGCTTAAAACAACACAGTCCACATTGAATATTTTATTATAAATAAATAAATTCTATTGATAAAATATTGTACAGTGTTCCACAAATAATGTTGATTGGTATTGTAACAGTCATAATATATGTTTAAAATGTCAGCCTTTGAAACAGACGAAGTATTGCTTAAACAACTACACTTAAAATTACTGAAACGAGATTTATTTTTATATACCATTATAGTTATTGTATATTATGACTATATGAGTACATG